GCCCTTTGCCATTAATTCATGCACTCCTTAGTTTAGTACTTGTATAACTCTCCCTCTGTGTGAGCTGGGAGTGTTTCTCTGAACTCATCACACACAGACTGCCCTAAAACACACGGAAAGGAGGGAGGCCCTCGGTGTCCTCTCAGTGCCACCCGACTGAGAAATCAAAATTCTTAGTTCTGGCTTTGCAAGGTTGACCCTCCTGCAGCCCAGTTCCACCAGTGGGTGCCGTGATGGGCTGATGCCTCGTGTAGGGGTTCTTAGAATCAAAACAGAAGCTTTTGCTTCTGGAAAATGTGGATTTATCTGAAACGTTTTCACGCATTTGGGATTAAATGGTGTAGCACAAAATGTTAGTGATACATAAACTGCATAACAGAACAGAAGTGGTGTCACAGGTTATAGCTGTACTGGAACATGCAGACTGTGATCACAGGAATTCGTTTGGGTTGATTTTTGTTTAAAATATTAAGCCTCTGCCTTTAATGAGCATTGTCAGGTGACTGGCCATGGAAGTACGGAGCGTTGCGAATGATTCACAAGGAGCAAATACTCTTCTCGTTAAATCTAATGGGGTCATGTCAATGGAAGTTGATATATTGTGAATGAATATGTTTTATTAACATAGCGAAGGAAAGTGCATGGGGTAGTCGGTATAAAGCTATAGTGTATCTGCAGAACCATAGCAACGTGCAAGTTTTAACTTTGGTTTGATGGCTACTTTATTATTCCTTTCCAATAATTACTTCTTTTGCAGGTGATATTTGCCTGTCATTTTTCAGCCCAGATTTAGTTCTGAAAAACAAATGGGTTTTCAAGAGGACAGTTTAGTGCAGGAAAATCAGCTACTTTCTATGTTTGAAATCTAAATGTTCTTATATTAGGCAGCACTGTTAGTGCCTTAAAACTGGTCCCCACCTGAGAGAACAAAACAAAGACTCGAGACTAAAGTTTAAGTCACCAGAGCAAGCTTTTTCAAATTACCTTAGCTTAATATTAAAGTGGCAAAAAAATCAGTATCTTTTACATTGATGTTGTTCTGCAGGTGCCTGGTGCCATGGTGCTGACTAGAATATGTAAGTTGTACAAGAAATTACTAAAAATGAAACCAGTGATTTCCATTTCTTTGTGTTTTATTACATTCTGCTCTCCTGTGTGCAGTGTCATCACCACAGCACTTTAGAATGCTGATTACTTAAAATAATTGTCCTTATAATTTGATTGAAAGGTCAACTCTTATTATCTTCCAAAATGAAAGCACTGAAATAATGAGCAGATTTTAGTCAAAATAAGTTTTTTCCAAAGTTTCAGCTGGTTATCATGCGCAGATATATGGAAACGTTGGAAGGATCTTGGTACTGGATCCGTCAGGATTTGATGCCAAACATTGAATATTAGGCTGAAAACTTCCTTATTGATTTAATCACAGCTATTGCAACTGGCAACTCACATTGTGCGCGCTTGTATGTACAGGCTGATTGATTTAGAATTAACTGAATTTAAAAATGACAGGATTAGAGAGTATAGTTACAGTGGTCCTGTCATTTACTGCAGTCTTTTTGAATGGGAGTATGGGATCGGTAGGAAGCCTGACCTCCAAACAGATAATCCTGGCTCAGAGAGGCTGAAGCTCATTCCTCCTCTACAACAAAGTGTTCAGTCATCACTGAGACATCTCATCTCCTTAATGAAGTGATTTTGTTGCCTTTTATCTGTGTGAAGGACAAAACGTACCAGGATTTTTGCTTAATGATGGTGTCATTTTTTTCAGCGTTTAAAAAAACCAAACATCCAGCAACGTAGAGGACTCAAACAAGATACTCTGTCTACATATTTAAATTATAAAGTTCTGTAGGTCTGTGACATTTAGGTCCAAATTTAAAAATCTCATGACATAAAAACATGATTAGTTCACTAATAAAAGTAAATTCATAAAGATGATGCAATTAGTGCTATACCGTCTTCGGGATTTGAAATACTTTTATTGCAGGTTTTTTTTTTTTAATTCAAAAATCTGATTTCTTTCAACTATATACCAGGGCCGTTCTGAATATGGTTTTGAGGGGCTTTACTTGTTTTCCAGGATTTTCCCAGTGCATCCGTGAGCATATTCCTGATCTCGCTCTCCAGCAGAACACGCAGATGGGAAGGCTGTGTGACACCCTGGGTACGTCACGAGCTGGTGCCTGCCTAGCTTCTTATTGTTACTTGCCCATAGTTGTGAGCAATAGAGAACGACTGATGAGGACTTTTGTATTAAATAGAGAGTAAATATAAACTCAGAAGTCATTTATCTGCTGTGGCATTTGCTCCTGTCTGTATTATTCATAAGAAGAACATGCTGGTGCTTTCTGACTCCGTGATAAGGTAAAGCAGCCCCATCCCGTGGCATGCTGAGCACCACAAATGATCAAAAGTGTTTAGTGTTCTACAAAATTAGGTAGCTAATTCTGCTAGTGCTCATTCAGGCTCATACGGAGAGAAAGATGTGCTAGAAAAGAGCAAGCCCTTATTTAAACCTCTTTCTTTTTTTTTTTTTTTTTTTTTAATCAGCAAACAAGGCAAAAGACGTACATTAAAAAGTTTTTCCTAGAATGACAGTCCTCTTTTAAGCAAAGCACTGAATAATATTATTTGTCAGTGACCAGCTTCATTGGCTCCCTGGAATGACACACTTTACATGATTCATTTATATTTCAGTATCATTATTATTTTATAAATGCCATTTAGTAAGTTTGTAACAAAAATATATTGGATCCAGAAATTTACAGTTGCCTAAAATAATAATGTAATTGCCTTTATATATTATCTCAGCACTAATGTTGTTTTTCCACAGTACAGTTGTATTTTTTTCACTTTTTAGCATAGATTTTTTTTTTTTTTT